GGCCGCATAGGGTTGTTGGATTTCAGAAAAGTTTAAATGCCAAAATCGTCATGCCCTCCGGTGTTTCATGTCTGGCTCCTGTCTGTATATAATAGTTGAAAAGTATTTTTTTAACACTTATAAAAAAATATCACTCGTAAATCTAGTCTAATAATTAGTTGCATTAAATATTAGACTAAAATGTAGTGATAATGATACTAGGTTTCGTCGAAGAAAAATAAAATTGTTAGAAGCAAAGCGCTTCCCAAGTTTGGAGTCATCACTTTAACAAGTGAGTACATAATTACTTTTATCTTACCCATATATATGAAGTATTTAATATAAGTTACGTGTTATATGTGCATAGTATCTGTGTTCTTGATATCTATGTAGGATGAACAAAATATACATGTTTTATTCGATTTAAATTGTATACGTATTTTATACCTATAATTATGATAGGTAAAGATGGGTAGATGAAAGATGAGATGAATGATGAGAGATGAAAGATGAGATGAATGATGAGAGATGATATAGATGATAAGGTGTGAAGATGATGAGAAGCCTTGACCCAAGCGATGGTCCAATCATCTAGCAGAGTATATATGACAACCATAAAGTATTCTAGACTGCCCAATGGAACGCTAGCAGGCTCGCAACCTGTAGGTGTTGTGAATGATATGTTCACCAGATGTACTCTAAAAACTCCGACAACTATGGATCTAGTGTCATACAAATGAACGTTGGCAGTTATGGCTTTAGTGTCTTACAAATAAATTTTGCCAGCTATGGATTTAGTGCCCTATAGATGAACATTGGCAACTATGGACTCAGTGCCTAACAAATAACATCGACAACTATGTCCTTAGTGCTTGTTATATAAACCTTGGACTTTGTGCCTATTCCGTAGGACAATCCTTAGGAATAAATATTGAGGAATAGATGATTCTTAGGGAAGATACTTAAGAATAAATAAGATAATGGGGATAGATAAATTGGGTTAATTGTTTGATGATGAAACCTAATAACTATATTATTGTGGGTTGAAAACCCTATGTACTTACAAGGTTTCTCAACCTGACCCACTCAGTTTATTTGTATCACATGTATCGATACGAAGACACATTACACTGAGAGATTAAATGATATGTAAATCATTAGTGTAAATGAATGTAAGGTCTGTTTATGCTTATGTTTCTATATTGTCAATGATATCATAAAGTTTTAATATAAACAAAATACATTTCTTCGGAAATGTTTTGATAATATGTTTATCATGCTTTCTGGGAACAAACTCCGCTATATTATTCTTTAAAATGGATACTCTGATTTTTAAATAAGCATTAATAAATTTTTTTAAATGGTCGTGAATTTGGGGATGTCACAATAATGATGAGAAGATTGAGAATTCAAATGATTTAATGTCCGAGAAAAAACTTGTGGGACACTCGGGATTTGATTGCAATTATTGTAATGTAAAGAATCACCTTACCAGAGATTGTATGTTGAAGAAGCGAGCTGAGAAGCAAAAGAAAGTTAATGATGAAGCCTATTATTCAAGGAAGATTGAAGCTTTAACGGTGAAGTTTAAGAATTTGTCCCTTATGGCGAATGGAGAAGGGGGAAACAAAAGAACATATCAAATTTAGTCTTCGAGTTTAGATGACGAGGAAATGTGTCATCTTCCACTAAATTGCCAAATGTTAGTATGGATAAGGATGCAGTTAGGATAGATAATATGTCTTTTTATCAAACAACGAAACATATACTATAATACAACAACACAACTTTATGGAAAATTTACTGATTTTTATCATTCATAAGATATTTGTAAAGAACATCATAGAAACTCTTATCATTTATAACTTTAAAAAATGATTTAGTTTATGAAATTCCATATGATTGAAAGAGTCGAGTTTCTTTTTATGATCAAGTGCCAAATGAGAGAAAAGTAAGTAATGTGATATTACCAAACTATATTTTTATTAATTTTGTAACACTCATAAAATATAGTCCCAAAAATTTTCTTTATAAATCATAAATAAACCGTAGTTATTAAAATCATCTCATTGAAACATAAGCCATAGTATCTCAAGTCATCATAAACGGTATATCCATATCAAAACATATGTCAAATATATCCGAGTAAACATCACAGGCTAAACATCATGGTGTGTGCAATGCAGTCATCCCGAGCTCTTCCCTTTGCTATCAGAAAGTACCTAAAACCAAAACTGAAAACCGTAAGCAAGAAGCTTAGTGAATTTCACCCAAAATACCACATACCATACACATAACATGCAACTAAGAGATACGGGCCCCGCCTACACTCAAGGAGAGACGAGCCCTGCCCACACTCGGATAACAGGCCCCGCCCACACTTAGTGAGATACATGCCCCACCCACACTCAGCTACTAGGAGATACGGGCCTTGCCTACACTCAGCTACTAGGAGATACGGACCCTGCCCACACTCAACTAACCAGGAGTTACGGGCCCCGCCCACACTTGGCTAATAGTGAGATACAGGCCCCGACCACACGCAACTAACTAATAAACACATACAAGTATCACACAGACAACAAGTATAACCAAAATCTACCAGTCCATTCCATATCCATACTCAAGTAATGCTAAGATACGGGCCCTGCCCATACTTAGCTACTAATCAGCACATGTAATATACACGGGCCGACATTGGTGCCTTTGACCCGTTCAATCTAGGAGGAAACTCACCTCAAATGTCAGATGATAGCTGAAACGTCTCTGCCCATAATCAGCTCTACTCACTCCCTAAACCAAAACAACCCCTTAGATACCATTTCCTACTCATAACCCTTTAGGGTCAACTATGGTCAAATTCAAAGTCAACACTCCGAGTTGTCTCAACTCGTCGAGTTCCCTTGAATCATAAAATCATGAAATCACGATCCAACTCGCTGAGTTCTTCCTTTTTAATAGAATCGGGACACTTCGACCCAACTCATCGAGTTCCCCTATGAACTCATTGAGCTCTTCAGTCTGTTATCCCTTCTTAATGTATTAAGCCCTTGTTCTTCAAATCTACACCCCATACTCCAAATCTAAATTGGAAATGCCTCTAGAAGGGTAAAGTTTCCAACTTTGCCTATTAATACCTTTCCTAAAGGGATTAAGCTCAAACCCTAACCCAAAAGGCCAAAGTCTTAATCCAAACACCACCAAAACTACAAGATAGACCATGAGGTATTGGATCTGGACTCTAGGGACGAAAAGATCACGTAAAGTCCCAGCTTTCTCTACATGTATAGCCATTAGAAGCTCCAAAAGGCCAAAATGATGGTCTAAAGGTTGCATGAGGCTTCCATGGCCATAAAGTTGGCACCTTTATGTCATGAAAGCCCCTCAAGACCTTAGATCTGAAGGGTTAACCCATTTGGGACGTTCAACTCCCAAGGACTGTGATATTTGGACCAAAACCAAGTAAAATAACCCTAAAAGAAGATCTAAACAACTACAAGGCAAGGTTCAAGATTTATACCAGTAAAATATCATGGACGAGGCAAGGATTCTGGATCTATAAACTCTTTCTTGTGTCTTCAAGCTTTTCCTTCTTCCAATGGCTTCAATGTACACACTAAAACACTTAAAATGGCTCACAATTACTCACAATAGCATTAGGGTTTCAAGATCTAGGGTTAGGGACTTGGAGGCTGGAAATGAGACCAACACCTTGGGGTTAAGGTGTTTAAATAAGATTCAAACCCCGAAAACTAGGGTTTCATGTCTATCTGCCTACTCGTCGAGTTGAGGCCTCCCAACTCATCGAGTAGGTTACTTAAAATACGCGACCCTTATGATCTCTACTCGACGAGTTTGGGCTTCCAACTTGTCGAGTTACTCTATAAAATGGAATAAATTATAATTTAAATACATACCAGGAACCAGACGTTACATATTTTTTTATAACTTATTATAATTTTTAAAAATGATGAAATTTTTATTTAATTAAAATTTTCATTTATTAAACTTGTATCCGCTAAACTTTATGTTTTATTGAATTTGCATATAGTATATAAAGCAAATTGTAGCTTTAGAAAACTAAAATATATAATTACACTTTATAAAAACAATTAATAGATGTGTCGCTTTGGGGATAGGTCTAAGGTCATTTAGTCACGAACTTGGTGAATATTTAAAGAGATAAAAAAAAACATGCGTGTATGTATGTGTATGGCTATCGGTATGTGTATGGATGTTATTGTGAGTGTCGGTATGGGTTTGGGTGTGAGTATAGCCGCGGGAATGATTTTTAATAAGAAATACTATTAAAAGTATAATGTTTTAATATAAATAAATCAAAGTAAGTTGTTTTTTCGGTTTTTTTTTTTTTTTTTTTTTTTTTTGTTAATAATTTTTTTCGTTAATAAATGCATGTGTGCTTAACACAAAAAATGATATATTAAGATTTACTAAAATTATACACTAAAATTTAATACAAGAAAAAAGGAACAAGTTGGATAATTTGTGAGTAAAAAAAATATTTAATTAACACAAAAATAATATTCCTATAACATTTGGCTTCCTATCTTTTTTAAACGCGTTTGAAATAATCTGTTTTTTTCAAACCGATCATTTTTCAGCCGGTCTTTTTATAGACCGGTTCGGACTTTCCTTTTCGAGACCCATCAAAATTAGTCTTCTTGTGTTCTCGTCCAAGAGAAAAGATCACCATATATATCAAAATGATTTACCAAAAACGTGCTTCATGTAAGCTCAAGCCCAAACGCTTCATGTAAAACCTACGCATCTAAATCACTTGTCTAATACAAACTACAAAGTATCAATAGATGGTATTGCTTATGTGTTCTATGTGTGCCACATACATAGAAGTGGCATTATGCCGTTGAAAATATAAAGAATGAGAAACCAAATTATCACTCATATCTAAAACAAATAATGTTAACTTTGTAAACCAAAAGCTATATTTTTCACTACACATTGTAAATCTATTATTTATATATGAGACAAAACAGAATTTTATAAAATTTATTTAGTGGTGGCATGCACTTTAAATAAAATAACAGTTAATTTTACTAGATTTATATTTCTAGAGAAAGCGGTGGTGAAACAACGGATAACATATTAACATGGATTGTCCAGACATTTCAAAGTGGTCGCCTCTTATCTCTGATATGCAGAATTAAAGATCATTCATGGATCCGAAACCACCTTCTCCACCGCATGTTCTTATCTTTCCATGTCCGGCGCAAGGCCATGTGAACTCCATGTTAAAGCTGACGGAGCTGCTCCTGCCGGCGGGTCTGCACATCACCTTTCTAATATCCGCCAAAGACCATGACCGCCTATCCCGCTTCACCACCGTCCATTCCCGCCTCAGCTCCTACCCGGGTTTCCGGTTCCACGTCATTCATGGTCTCTATGAAGGCCCCATAGACACCGATGAAAAACTCAATCTGATGTTAATTGATTCTTTGCCTAAAGTAACTACACCCTTGCTCAGAAATTTGCTTCTCGATTCTCAGGTGACTTGTTTCATAGCTGACGGAATCTTGGGTTTTGCACTGGATGCGGCGGCGGGTACCGGAGTTCCCGTCATGTTCTTTCGGACGGTTAGTGCTTGTGCTTTCTGGGCTTACTTTTGCATCCCTGATCTCATAAACTCCGGCGACCTTCCCTTTCAAGGTACGTAATTACTAATTAATTACTCCAATGTTTTACAATCACATTTGTACTTAAACTTTATCGAGTTTTGTTCGAATGTTTTTTGATATCTGAAATTTGTAATGAATAAAGGTACAAACTTGGACGAACGAATAGTCAACGTGAAAGGCATGGAAGGATTCCTTCGCCGGCGTGATCTTCCAAGCTTTTGTCGTTCCGGCTTAAGCAACACCACGTTCCAAGAAGTTACCAACATAACACGCCGGACACCAGATGCCCATGCACTCATTCTCAACACTTTTGAAGATCTTGAAGGCCCTATTCTCTCTCACATACAAAAACACTGCCCAAATATTTACACCATCGGACCACTTCACGCACACCTCAAAGCCCGATCCATATCAAAATCCACATCTTCAAATAGCTTATTCCAAGAAGACAGGACATGTATAGGTTGGCTCGATCAACATGCACCCAAATCGGTATTATACGTGAGTTTTGGAAGCATAGCAACACTAACAAGGGACCAACTTATCGAGTTTTGGCATGGTTTAGTTAACAGTGAGAAACCATTTTTATGGGTCATCCGAGAGGATCTTGTTTCGAGTCTTGATGATGAAAACAAGGTGCCAAGTGAGCTAGAAAAGGATACCAAAGAAAGAGGGTGTCTAGTTGGGTGGGCTCCACAAGAAGATGTCTTAACCCATTCAGCTGTAGGTGCTTTTTTGACACATAATGGATGGAACTCGACGTTGGAGAGCATTGTTGAAGGAGTGCCGATGGTGAGTTGGCCGTTTTTTGCAGATCAACAACCGAATAGTAGATTCGTGGAGGCTGTGTGGAAATTAGGGTTGGATATGAAGGACACGTGTGATAGAAGGATAGTTGAGAAGATTGTAAAAGAAGTAATGGAAGTTAGGAAGGAAGAGTTTGAAGAATCTGCCCGTCGTATGGCGAAACTGGCCAAGGAGTCTGTTAGCAGCGGTGGATCTTCTTATAGGAATTTAGATCGTTTGATCGAAGACATTAAAAAGATGAGTACTCAATCTAATTAATGATATGTCAGTTGCTAATGTGAACATTTGCACCTTCTTCCTAGATATATAAATTAAGAAATAGAAAAATTGTAATTGTAATAGATATTTGTTTCTTCTTCAAAGAGGAAAAATCTTTTACAGATATTTATTCTCTTTAAATAAAATTCTATTGTTACTGAGGAGTGTTGAATAATGGTTCTCAAAACTTTGGTAGCTTCTTTTCCACTGCTTAGCATTTAAGATTTCAGTTTTGTTTTTGGTAGCTGTTACTTAATTTCAAATAACTGGTCCATGATTACCCATAAATTAGTATGTATTATCAGTTGCTTATTTCTAGCTTTGGCGGTTTATGTTTTTTGGTATTTATATGGCTGTGTACTCAATCAAATTGTTCTTTAGTTTTTTTTTCATTTTCTCACTGTTCTGTATCATAATTTCTTGTTTAAGTCTTCTTTCTTCCAACAAAATTGGTATCAGAGTCGGTATATTGACATGCAATGGTACAAGTTCTACAGAACAGCCATTGATTCCAGTTTTCAAGGGGGAGAAGTACCACCTTTGGAGTCTCAAAATGAAGACAATGTTGAAGTCCTAAGAGCTATGGGATTTGCTGGATAATGGGTATGTAGAACCAAACCCGACACCAGCAGAACCAGATCAGCAATTACGAGAAACTCGAAAGAAGGATGCAAATGCTTTATTCTTCATCCAATCAGCATTGGATGATGAGTTTTTTCTACATATTGCAGAAGCAACAACCTCGAACCAGGCATGGGCAATTCTGAAACAAGAATTTCTTGGTGATCGAAAAGTCATCAATGTCAAACTACAATATCTTCGCCGTGAATTCAAGACCTTGGGCATGAAAGAGAAGGAAAAGGTGCAAGTTTTTCTTTCGAGAGTATCTGAAATTGTCAGCCACATGAGGTCATACGGTGAAAATGTTAGCAATGAAACTGTAGTCAGTAAAGTTTTAAGGAGTTTGACCAAGGATTTCAGTCATGTCGTGGCTACAATCGAGGAAACAAAGGACCTATCCACTTATACTTTTGATGAACTAATGAGTTCTTTGATAGCTCATGAAGATAGGATGAACATGTGTTGTAAGAAAGTCGATGAGAAGGTGTTTCAAGCAACTGGGGATCAGAATAAACGAAGTGCAGATAGTTCACGTGGTCGTGGATGAGGAAGAGGTGGATATCGTGGTCGTGACAGAAGAAGAGTTCAGTTTGGTGATTAACGCCAACAAAAAACATCCCTCGATGTCAACATTGCAACAAACTTGGCCATAGAGAAGCTGATTTTTGGAACAAGCAGAGAGAAGAACAGAAACCTCAATGTTGATATTGCAACAAACTTGGCCACAAAGAAGTTGATTGTTGGACCAAGAAACGAGAACAACAAAATCATGCAAACGTTTCAGAAAAAATAGAAGAGGAAAGCAAGCTACTCATGGCACCTTCTTCCACAGTTGATACGTCTAATGGTGTGTGGTTTGTGGACAGCGGATGCTCAAACCATATGACAGGAACAAAGTCTTTGTTTAAAGAGCTTGATGAGACTCAAAAGGGTGTAGTTCATTTTGTAGATGACAATGCATTGCATATTGAAAGACAAAGTATAGTCTCCATCAAAACCACTCAAGGTAATGCAAAACTTCTTCATGATGTGCAATATGTTCCTAAATTAGCCCATAATTTGCTAAGTGTTGGGCAATTAATGTGTTCTGGGTATTCAGTTACTTTTGATGACAAGTATTGTTTAATTAGAGACAAAAAATATGGTTAGCCCATTGCTAACATTCCAGCGACACAATATAGAATGTTTACGCTTAAAATTTCAACCATGGAGAAGTGTGCTTTAGTTTCTACTAGTGAGTCAAGCATTTGGCATCTACGTTATGGTCACTTAAATATAAATGAGTTGAAATTGCTACATAAGAAAAATATTGTTTTAGGGCTGCCAAAAATAGATACAGTGGATTTTTGTGAAGGGTGTGTATATGGGAAAGAAACTCGAAAATCGTTTCTTGTAGGTAAGTCTTGGAGAGCTTCTTCTTGTCTTGAATTAGCACATACCGATGTTTGTGGTCCAATGACTGTTGATTCGTTGGATGGAAGTCGATATTTCTTGTTGTTTATAGTTGATTACAGCCGTATGAGTTGGGTATACTTCTTAAAAAATAAGTCAGAGACCTATGATTGCTTTAAAAAATTTAAGGCTTTGGTAGAGAAAGAGAATGGGAATAACATAAAAGTTCTTCGTTCCGATAATGGTGTTGAATTCACCTCACAAAAATTTAATGACTTTTGTGAGTTTAATGGCATTCATAGGTCATTTACAGCACCGCACACCCCAGAACAGAATGAAGTAGCAGAACGAAAAAACCGAACCATTGGTGACATGGCAAGAAGCATAATGGCAGCAAGAAATCTTCCAAAAAAATTCTAGGTTGAAGGCGTTGCAGCTGCTGTATACATTTTGAACATCTTGCCCATAAAGGTTGTTCTAAATCGAACTCCCTATGAAGCATGGAAAGGTAGAAAGATGCAAGTAAGTCATTTAAAAATCTTTAGGTGGATTTCTTATGCATTAGTCACATCATCTCGCAGCAAGCTTGACCAAGAGTCAGAAAAATGCATTTTCATTAGCTATTCTACTTCCTCAAAGACGTACAGGTTATTTAACCCAATTAGTGAAAAAATTATTATAAGTAGGAATGTTGAATTTAATAAGGCAGAACAATGGAGTTGGAAAACATTGGCTTCAAAAAAACTCACCAAAATCTGTTCCTGTAACATTTGAGGGTAATAACTTCACAGATCTAGAAACAAGCAATTCTCAAAATGGAGATAATGTTACACCACCTTCATCTCCACCTTCTTCACCATCAAGATCTTCTTCATCTTCAAGCTCTTCATCTGAAAGTCCTCCAAAAAAGTTTCGATCATTGGAGGATATCTATGCTTCATGTAGCTTTGCATTGTATACACCTGATCCTTGTCCTATCTCTTATGATGATGCAGGAGAGAAACAGGTGTGGAAAGATGCAATGAAAGATGAGATTACGACTATTAGAAAGAATGAGACTTGGGATTTGGTTGGTTTTCCCAAAGAAAAAAAATGCCATAGGCCTCAAATGGGTGTACCGTACAAAATACAATATTGATGGTACAATCCAGAAGCATAAAGCGCGTTCGGTTGTGAAAGGGTATGCTCAACAACACGGAGTCGATTACGAAGAAACATTTTCTCTGATTGCTCGGTTTGAAACAGATCGAATTTTTCTTGCCTTAGCCGCACAAATAAAATGGAAAGTGTACCAATTTGATGTTAAATCGACATTTCTAAATGGAGAGCTATGTCTCTCAAACGGAATGATTTTCATGTGGTGATGATAGTAACGTGTACAGGTTGAAAAAAGCCTTATACGGGCTTAAGCAAGCCCCCCGAGCGTGGTACATCAAGATAGATTCGTAGTTTCAAGAAAATGGATTTGATAGAAGTAAAAGTAAGCCTACTCTCTATGTAGATGACATTATTTATATGGGGTTGTGTGAATCTATTGTTGCTGAGTTCAAATCTTCGATGATTAAAAAATTTGAGATGTCAGATATGGGCTTGTTTCGTTACTTTCTTGGCCTGGAGGTGAACCAATGTGATGATGAAATTTTTATTTGTCAAAAAAGTATGCTACTGACTTACTTAAACGATTCAATTTGTTGAATGCGAATTCGTGTTTAACACCGATGAATATGAATGAATCGCTTGTTACAAATGATGGCACAAAGTTGGCAAATGTGAAACACTTCAGGAGTATAGTTGGAGGCTTGAACTACCTAACTCGCACCAGGCATGATAGTGCATTTTCAATTAGCAGAGTTTCAAGATTTATGCACAGTCCTTCGGTTCATCATATAGGAGCAACAAAGAGGATTCTTCGCTATATAGCTGGAACGGTTGAGTTTGGGATTTGATACTCAAATGTACCTAATCCAAAATTATATGGGTTTACTGACAGTGATTGGGGTGGCTGTTTGGATGATCGAAGGAGCATATCTGGTTATGTTTTTTCTCTTGGTTCAGGTGCTGTTTCATGGAGCTCAAAAAAGCAAGATGTTGTAGCATTATCCTCATAAGAAGCGGAGTACATTGCAGCAACATCATCGGCTTGTCAAGCTGTGTGGTTAAGAAGGATACTTGCTAATCTTCTCCAAAAACAAGTTGGCCCAACAGAAATCTTTTGTGATAATCAAGCAACAATTGCAATGACAAAGAATCCACCCTTCCACAGCAGGACAAAACACATAGACATCTGTTACCATTTTATTTGTGATTTAGTTGCTGAGAAAGAAATCATTTTGAAGCATTATGGAACTAATGAGCAAGTTGCAAATGTGCTCACTAAGTCTTTTCCAAGTGTCACACATAATTTCTTTAGGTTTCGTATGGGAGTAACAAGTTTTGAAGCAAGGGATGTGTTGAATAATGGTGCTCAAAACTTCTGGTAGCTTCTGTCCCACTACTTAGCATTTAAGATTTCAGTTTTGTTTTTGGTAGCTGTTACTTAATTTCAAATAAGTGGTCCATGATTACCCATAAATTAGTATTAGTAGTTGGTTATTTCTAGCTTTGTCAGTTTCTTTTTTTTTTTTGGTATTTATATGGCTGTGTACTCAATCAAATGTGGGTAGAATATTGAATAAAAAAACTTTGGGAAAATGACTTAAGAGACCATCGAAGTTTCAAATTCATTCAAAAAAACCATTCAAGTATTAAATGTTTAAAAAACACCATCAAACTAATAAATATGTTCTAAAAACACCAATGAAGTATATGTTCTGTTCAAAAAACATAATCTCTATAGTTTGGGGTAATTTACTTATTTAGTCCCTAACTTGTTTTCTTAACTCGGACGATTCCTTTAATATAAATTTGTTTCGACTTTGGACCCAGATCGAGTTAAAAGACTAATATACTCTTATTACTTTCATTTAACATTATTTTTATTATTTATTAATTATTTATACAATTTATGTTATTATTCATTATAAATATATCAATTTTATAAATAATTAATAAGTAATAAAAATAAATGTTAAATAAAATTAATAAGGGTATATTAGTCTTTTAACTCAATCATGGTCCGAAGACAAAATAAATATAAACGCTAGAGACCGTCTGAATTAAG